AACTACTTTATTACAAGTAGTTTTTTTGTTCCCAAATAAGGGTCTAATAGTAACAACAGTTACATTTATATCTAACCTGCTTCACTGTCGCTTGAATCAGTGCTTGTTGAAGAAAGCGAACTACTGCTGGAGTCACTATCACTGCTACTGCTGCTTGACGCCGACAATCGCGAAGGTCCACTGGCACCACCCGTTCCAACTACATCAACAGACTTACTACTGTCTTCTATAAAAAGTACAAATATAATTTTATTATTACACTCTTATATATGGCTTAATATTATTTTTACATTCTTAAGTATACATTTCTTAATAGATTTAGACTGCAAAACTCTATGAAAAATTAATGGAATGCTAACCTTTCTTGGCAGTTTTCTTGACATTGCCTAGCTGTCCCGTTACATCCTGTAATCTCTTCTCCAATTCTTGTTTCTTTTCTGCCATCTGTTCATCCTTGGATTTAGCACTAACTTTCTTATCTGCAAATACATATAAAACATATAAATATAAAATTCATAACTTTAATATTAAAGTCATTAACATGGTTAAAAGATAAAAAAGTTTATCTTCATTAAATATATTCATAAAATATATTGAATATATTTTCTAAAAATATGCAAGATATGATCCTTTACTCATATTTTATCAGAATTAATTTGTGTGTAAGTAAATAATATTCAAATTTTAACATATAAAACATATATAACATATTATGTATTATTTTGAAAAAAATGATAACTAAATTATTTTATAAATTCAATATAAAATTAAATCTATAGTGGCACTTACGTGGCTTCTTTCTGAGGCATGATGCAACATAACTCTCCAATTCTCTAAGTGTTGATGGTTTCAATGTTTCAAAATCAATTTCGATTTCATCTGGATTTGAATCCCTCAACGATGGTTCCCGAGATTGTATTATGTGTACAACACGACCTAATTTATCACCTAAACAAAAAATAAAAAATTACTAAAAATCTGATATATACTTTTGATTGTTTTAGTGTATTCTTTATTTTTATAATTAGAAACAGAACAATTTTAGAATCTTCTAGAGGTAAAATTATATAATTATATAATTATAAAAACTGGAAGAAAATCAAGAATCAAAAATATTTATCCTAATAATTTTGCAAATGTTCAAGCAGTAACATATTCATTGTATTATAACATTATAGCTGGATCCATTATAAAATAATGCATTTTTAATCCATTAATAAATAATTTCTATCTTTAAAAACAAATCTGTATACTCTTCCTTGCTATATAGTTTTTTTCATTATTCAACTTTCCATTATTAAAAAGATATATAAATGTAACATTTTGATATATTTTACCTGGTAGTTTATTAATATCCAGGCTAAGCTGCCTCTTCTCATCATAAGACATGGGTTTAGCATTATCTTCGTCTTCTGAATCGAATGTAATTGGAGGTGGTTGATTGCCAGTATTTTTCTTTTTAGTTCCAGTTGATCTGCTGTTAGCTTTCGGCCTTTTACTTGCAGTATTCGCAGTTGTGGCAGCTTTTCCAGGTCCTCGACCTTTACCTTTTGGTTTAGCATTTGCTGCAGTTGGCAAATGATGCCCTAAGCTTCCAGCAGTGTGAGTCTTATTAGGTCCTATTGCTGTAGTTTGATGGTGCAAATCGCTAGCCATACCACCAGGCATTTTCAAATCGCCTGCACCCATTGCAACACTGGCTATACTAGCACCAACACTATCAGAGACATTGGGAATGCCACCACTCGGTTTCATAAGTTCTTTCATGGCACCAGTATGACTGGCAACAAGGCTGCTATTCTTATTGCTCATTGGCTTTGATTTTGGTTTATCTGGTTTCTTTTTCTTATTTTTCTTCTTTCCACTTTCCTCTACTAATTTTCTCATTTGTTCTTGCATAGCTTTTAACTATATATAAAGTAGTAAATTATTATTAGTAGGAAATTATTATAATTTCCACCCATGTTTAATATAATTTACTTTATTAAAAAAAAAATAAATATATATATATATACCTCTTGTTGTAATTCAAGTAATTTTTGAGTACGTTCTTCAACAGAGTCGTCACTATCAGAGGAACTATCCCCTCCAGAACTACTACCACTACCGCTGCTACTTCCTTTCATAGCCACCATACTACTTCCCATTGGTTCATCGGGAACTTTTGCATACCTAATCATGTATTCAGATATATGATTAGATCAAAATTTGATACATCATGTACTTAAATTTTAGATATATAACAAATTTTAATTACCTCATTTCAAATATATCTTGAAGTTTTCTAGCCATTGAAACAACATCATGATCGGGAGGGTTATATTTATAACAATTAGTAAATATAAGTCGTACATCACTCGCAAATTCATGCGCAGTTTTATATTGACGATTATCCATTTTTGTCTGTCAAAGAAAAGATTAGATGTTTTATATTCAAACCCAATTGATATATGAGCTGAACTAGTTATATTATGTAAAATATAATGATGAATGTAATAACTTGATAATTTATATTCTCATATATATTTTTAGAAAAAAATTTAATTATATTCTATATAAAAAAATTTAAATTATACTCTATATAGTATATATGTGATTATTATTGGCATAACTAAAAATATACCTTTACTGTACCAAGATCCATAGGTTTCTTGATAATCTCATGATAGTCATGAAGGCCTAGAAGTTCTGCATCAACAGGTTTATAGAAAGGCCAAGCATAGGGCTATATAAAAAGTTCATGATTCTTATATGATATTCACAAAAATATATTTTCAAGTTATAGATAAAAAAATATTGCAATTACCGAATGCTTTTTAGCGAAAAGTTCTTTTAGGATATCATTACAAGATTTTAGTGCTTCAGACAATTTTTCTTTTCCTTTAACACCAACATGCGGAGGCTAAAAAATAAGAAAAAGTGAAATTTATATAACATTAATAACATTAATTTATTTAAAAATTTTCTATAAAGATTGAAAACTATATTAATCTTTAAACTTATTTTTTTTAAATCCGTAAGATATATATTCAAAAGATAAAAAAAGTTTTAATTTATTAAGTATTATAATTTATATGTCAATAAGACTTTTGATACAAAGAATGTCACAGAATATATATATATATATATATATATATATATATATATATAAAAATTGTATTGTTTAATATAAATTTAATAATTTTCATTCGATAGATGATAAGACAACACAAATGAAAGGAAGGAAAATATGAAGGTATAGTAATAAATGTACCTGTTGGGCCATTGCCCCCATAAGAGGCATATTAGCCTGATGGTATGGCACTAAGCCGTCTTCCGCTTGTCTTGTTGGCTGAAACAGCCACGATATGAATTGTTTAAATTGTTTAATGATATCAATCATTATATTACATTAATTGCCAAGCATAATGATTAACATCATTAACAAAATGAAGTGACTTTAGATGCAAGGATTAAGGATGTTTATTATGTATTATGATAAAACATGAATTTGAACTTTTCATATTTAAAAAAATGTAATAAATTTTTACTTATTTTAATATTATAATCTTTTACAATATAAGAATTTCACTCTTTTATCGTGAAAATTTTAAATTTTTAATAAAATAAATTCACAACTTAAAATACATTTCATAGTTCAAACAATTCTACTTTTTTTAGTATTTTTGATTCAAACACAAAATGTAACAATACAAAAAAATATGTAAATATACTTACCTTTTTGATTTGCCTGCCAGATTCCCTTCTCGTAGGTATTTTGGCATTCTTGGCATCTATAGGTGCATACAATGGATCGAACGCATTTGCAGTAGGAGTTGTAGTATCAGCTTTTCTTTTAACTCCTTTTTTGAGTTTGGCAGGTTGTGATGGAGGCATCACAGTGGGCGTCGTGGGTACCTGTGGAGGTGGGGGTACAGCAGAAGCTGTTTGAGGATCCATCGCCGGTTGCGCATGATAACCCGTGGTTGGAGGGACAACTTGCTGAGGCAAAGAATTATGAGTAGCCATCGGTGTGACACCCATACTTGATGGTGGAGCAATGGTAGTTGTATTTGTGCTTCCAGGTACTGAAGCTGGTGCCTGAGTACCGAGAGGCGGCATAGGTATAACGCCTGTTGTACCAGCCGATGTAGCAGAAGGTGTTAGACTATTTGGTACGCTGGAAGTAACAGCGGCTGCACCAGAAGATGGCCGTCCCCTACCTGCCCCTGTACCACTCGCTATTCCACCTACTCCTGGTCCACCGACTCTTCCAGCTTTCTTGCCTTTGGGTCCTTTTGGAACAGGCGGATCTAACTCTACTTCTTCTTTCGGCATTTGCGCAACCTAACAGATTATTAGATTTTATATTCTAACAATCTAACAAATTATATTTACATATTATCTTTAAAATATTTTTCAAAACTTTTATTATGTACTTGTTACTTTTATTACATAATGTTCTCATTTAACAAAAAATATTTGTTTATTATAATATCTTTAGGAAATATAGACATATTATAAAAAAAAATACCTTCGTAAGAAACAATTTTTCGAGAGCCTGTGCCATGACTACAACATCCTCTCCTGGCTTGTTGTAAACATAACAGTTGGTGAACATAGTATTGAAATCCTGAATACATTCTTTTCCACTCCAGTAATACGAATTTTCCAATCGCTTTTTGATTGTGCCCAAATCCATTGGTTTTTTGATGATTTTGTGATAATCCTTTTAAATAAAAAATAATAATTCAGCAATTATCTATACAATAAAATTATTGTAAAAGCCCTAATAAAACATTTTATAAATTCATATATAATATATTGTGTATTATATATGATACAATTTATAACACTATTTGTAATATAGTAAGAACAATATAATTTTAACATACTGGTAAATTGAGTTTTTTCGCATCGACAGGTTGTTGGAAGGGCCAGGCAAATTGATGCTTCCATACTGGCTTTAGGACACCCTTTTGCAAAAATTGCAATTGGTTTGTAATACGTCCTGGACGATTCGGCGGTGGAACGACCGGTGGTTGAACTATGCCATTCACCGGTTCCAAGGGTGGTTCATCACGTGGAGGCGGTTCCTTTGCAGGACTCGCTGGCGTAGTAGAAGCCTTGCCAGGTGTGCTCGTCTGCATTATTTATTTTCATTTGTTAGTCATAAATATGAACGGTTAATTTATTAATTTCTTATGCATCTACATTATTGTATTTTTACATGTTAAGAAATCTATTAAGCATATAACATTTCACAAACTGTATAAATACTGACATCATTAATTTCATGTCAGTATCATGCATTTTAGATCGGTATTTGTATGCAGTGTTCTCAGATGTATTGTAAAACTACTCTTAGTAGATTGTTCTTGAATTCAACACGAGAGATTTTCCATAAATCCATTTAAGTTTTTAATATTTTTTATAAAATCTAATCGCATGTAAAGTATATTAAAATTTTATATTAAATACAGAAATGTTTTAAAATTGATGATACAAGCAGAAAGAATATAATATATATAGAAAAATAAATTGAAAAATATAGAATACAACTTTTTATATATAAGATTTATTTTCTAGAATAACTTTAAATATTTGTCGATCACGTATGTATCTAACATCATGTCTAACAACATGTTTGTAGTTACCAATATTACCAATATCATAAAGATATTCGAAAAGACATGATAAGACAAAATTGGTAATATAAAAAAATATTCTATTATTCTATTTATATTATATTCTAAATTATATTTCATTTATTTTTTCATATAGAATTATCCTTTTTCTCTTCTGCGCCACTAGTTTTTTTAATATCTTATGTATGCAACAGTAAAGATTAAAAAAATAAAAAATCTGTTGTTAAAAAATAAAAATTTTTATTCATATAAAAATATTCATATAAAAAATAAAAATTTTATTCATATAATCTTGAAAAAAAACTTAAAAAATATATCTTCTTTATTAGATTGATTAAATGATTAGATTGATTAAATGATTGGATAGAATACTGGATTGGATTTTTTTATTTTTTCCAGTTTTTATTTCTAGTGTACAAAAAAAATTTTTATTAAAAAATTAAATAATTTAAAATTTATTCGTATTTGGTTTAATCTTAAAAGAAATTTTGAAAAAAAAAAGATAAAAGAGAAAGTTAAAATATTTTTTTCCATTTAGATAAGGATCAGATAACTTTTTCTTTTCTATCTTCTTTCGAGTTTATGTTTCTATTGTAATGATTAATGATCTAGTTTTCCAATGAATATAGATGAATCATGAAAAATCGTTGACAATATAATTTAAGCAACAAGCGAATCGACCATAGCAATTGAGAAATTTAAAATTGTAACTGTCTCCTCAAAAATTTTTAGGCTCAATCTTTTTGTGTATTATAAATGAAAATAATGGGACAATATCCATATTGAATATTAACTATGTCATTTTATCTTTTTTTTGTTTTTATACATTTCTACGTATATATAAACGCAAAAAAAGTTTGATTAATACATTTAGGTAAATTATGTATGGAAAATTATATTATTGTTGTAAAAGTACATCTGTTCTATAATTCACACAAAACTATTGCGTTTAATACATAGTTTACTAGAACAAATATTGAAATCGATATAATACATCTGTTTACCCGTTAACTTGTTTATTTTTTTTCTTCTGTATAACATACATGTATATTTTGCATCAAGCGCATTTGAAATAAATAGATGTAATTATATCAAGTCAATATAGTAACGATGATGCAAAAATCGCATGCGTCAAACATCGAATAGTACCGTCTCTAACGATTGCTTAGAATTTACGACTTCAAGCGTTTACTTGCTCTTCCCATCTTTAAATTCATATATCTTATTCATTTTTACTTATCTTTTACTT